TGACTGTTTATAAAATAATAACACCTGCACTCATAACTCAGGCCGTTATTTACCATTTTTGACGTCTAAGAATTTAACGATCATTTTCACCTTTCACCTATCAAAAATTCCTCTATTTTTTGTTCGAAAAGGTTTATCTCGGCCAACATTTTATAGACACGCGAGTCAAAGATCTACCTGTTCATGAGCGCTCGTGTTAGAGTTTGTCTTCCGCTAAGACCTTAACAGATAGTTGACACATATTCGAACCGTTCCGAGTCTCGTTGTTTACACTTTGTGTTGCGCAAGAGTCTCACGGTTTACTCGAGTTCGAACCTCGTCTGGGACCCTACACGATGGACTGCTTCGTAAACCGTAACAAAAGTTGTTAGTATGGTTCGGCCAAGTCCAGGATGAAGTGTCCGTGATACGGAAAAGGCCTTACGGTAGTTTACACGGTAACTATTGCTATAGATATCCAGTTTAGCAAATATTTACGAATACGGATACGGTTACGTTACAGAGTTTATAACTCGACCTTCACGTGTTTTTGACGTCACTGGTAGTTGTCTTTATTGCCTATGTATCACGAATGCATGTATTGAAGACTTGGAAGATAGCTGCCATCTTAATAAATAATTCATATCCAATCAGAAAGCATTATATAAATTGTAGTAAATAATATTTAAACTAATCTTCACTTTCTTAACGATCTCGATTTTTAAGTTTCAAGACCTCTCTACAAAAATATCCCCGGTATAACAATACTGCAATATTCCTGACCCCCAAAATAGCGTTGTAGTGAGGTTCGACTGTATATCATCTTCAGAGACAACGATATCGTTAGTAATTCAAGTTACGAGTGACAACAGATGGATGGCCGAGTGATCAAGATGGCATCCTACCATTGTGAGAGGGTGATCGGCTCGAATCTGAACTGCACGAAAATGCGCCAGGAATTTTTGTGTGGTGGTGGTCGGTCCGGTTGAATACGTTTCACTCAGTCAGATATTATCCGGCCACTTCATTGTGGACTTGGTCGAACCCATAAGGGGCTTTCTAAAAGAGACCATCTGAGTGCCCACAGGGAAGAAAGAATTTTAAGAAAAAGTTATGAGTGATTGTGAAATATGTTTGTGTGTGCCCGGTATGGCCACAGAGTTGTACTTTGGACAAACTAATTTAATGTGTGAAAAGTGCAATGTTAATAAAATAATCTTTAATTTAAACTTTCCTTTAGCCTTTTTACGGATTTATTATTATTATTTGTTGTATTCATCATTAGGAATATTATAAGATCTAAACAGTGAACAGATCTAAACATCTAGAACATTATAAGATCTAATTTAATAGTGATATTAAATCACTAAATAACAAACAAAATACAAACTTTATGTGAATTAAAATTTTTAACTGTTAATTCACCAATTCGTCATTAATAACCGCAGCCCTATAAATGCAAATTTTCTTAAAAGAGAAAATATTTTTGAATAGGATATTACGCAAATTGTTGATTTCTGTTTGTATTGCAGTCACGTGTCAAAACCGCATCGATGGTTTTCAGCGGTAAAATAGGAAATGTGCAGTACAATATCGATGTCTTAAAGCAGTTCAGTGGTTCTTAACCTTTTTCTCTTCTTACTCGCGGCCCACCAAATATTTCATAACCCATATTTGATATAATCACGATCGTATTTTCTAATTTTAATGTTACTTAATTTTATACCTTCAGTTTTAGGACATGTTTTTTCCGTTGCATTTTTCACTGTATCATCATCGGAACTTTCACTAGTTATTTCTACACTATATCTTCTTTGTTGAAGGTCCTGGTCCGTGATTATTTACATTAAAAAATTCTCCAATGTTGTTTTCTGTTTTTTTGTTTTGCTTATTTTTATGGGTTAATTATAAATAATTAAAACCAAACACACAATATTAAAAAGAAGTGCGCTATTATCCGATCCAAAGTTTATGCTAAAACAAAACTGAAACTAAAACACCCACAACTTATTGTAAAGATTTTGCATATCTTTTGCAAAAACATTTAAATTTTCAAAGCCTATTGTTTTTCCTAATTATTTTTAAAATTCCAAGCATTAACAGTTTCTTAGAATTAGTTCGGAATAAAAGAAGTAAATAGTGCGGTGTAAGTAGCATATTTGCATTTATTTCTTCTGTACTAATTTTCGTCGATGTTAAGCCTAACGTAAAGTTTTTAAAATAATAATCGTGGCTATTGTATCGTTAAAAATTATTTCTTTATTTTTTACGAACAAAATAAATATATTATTGAAAAATATAAAAACAAAAAAAAATTATACTTTAGAAGTTAAAGCTACTTTTTATATCAAAAACGATCTCCAATAGTTTTTTAATTTTTTAATTAATATAATTTATTATATATACGTTTAATAAGTCGGGAGGTCGGAAATCGCAATAAAAATTTTAATTTTTTAAAAATATTTAAAAATATACGGCCAGCTAGTATTCACCCTACTATAAACTCTTCGCCTCCTGTAAGTTTTATAAGAATGTCCCAGGAAATTCAACACCAGCTGTTCTCAAGGTAATCCAGCTTTAAACATAATGAGTCATTATTAATGACTCATTAGCGTCAGATTTCTCAGAAAGGCGAGACAATGGAAATTAAACTTTGAAGCTTTCTCTTCAAAATTAACGAATTTCTTTCGTTTTTTTCAGCTTTAAGTATTTTTTATGTTTAATTAAAAATTCTAAAAAAAGTGGGTGGGTGAAAAGGGGTTAAAGATAATAAATTCCGTAAGTAAATATTTCGCAATATTTTGAAAAGGCTTACGACAATGGAAAATTTTCACAATTACAAAAAAGACTGGTTATACGCCGGCTGATGAATCCTAAATATAAAATAAAACATTATAAGAATACTAAGAATTTAAAAAGTTCAAATGTTTTTATAGATTAGACAGAATTAGATAACCCAACAAATAGGGTATAACATTTTTTGCAGGGCTTATCACACCAAGGCCGACTGAAAGAAGGACCAGAACTTTTATAAAAAAGGTGGTCTTTAATAATCACTTATCAAACTTAGGTAAGTATGCATTTCGGGTACAAGGATTCATCATCAGCTTACAAACACATGGCAACAACGTCACAAATACAAAACCAATAACCTGTCAATACACCGTGAAACAGATGTTGAACAGATGTAAGAGTATAGACACTCACCTTGTAAAATGCAGATGGTCAGTGCAGTTGACTTCACAATGGCTCATAGATCGGATGTATTTTGTTCTGTTAAAATCTGGTGACCAATTGGTTTAATAAGAGTAAGTTCAATGTTAACCTCCCTTTTATTTATGGTTTAATATACCTAACAATATTTATTATTAATAGTGTAACCGTCTACCAGAATTTGAAAAACGTAGGAGAAACTAAGACATTTACTGGTGGAGTTAATATGTTATACCATATGGTCATTGTATTCTGATTTATACTTGATAATTTAGTTTAGTGTACGTGTTACATTGAGAAATTGTAAATGCAATGCACTGCATACGTGGGTTATCCCGGTGTATTGACAGGTTATTGGTTTTGTATTTGTGACGTTGTTGCCATGTGTTTGTAAGCTGATGATGGGTCCTTGTACCCGAAATGCATACTTACCTAAGTTTGATAAGTGATTATTAAAGACCACCTTTTTTATAAAAGTTCTGGTCCTTCTTTCAGTCGGCCTTGGTGTGATAAGCCCTGCAAAAAATGTTATACCCTATTTGTTAGGTTATCTAATTCTGTCTAATTTTCAGTCGCGGGCAAAAAGCGTTGTTTATTATTATTGTTTTTATAGATGATGAATAGTCTGTAGCTATAGATTGATATAAATTTTTATTAGCGCATCATATACTTCTCATAAATTATATCTCGTTGGTTTTAAATTGTTATCTCTTGATAGTGTTCGAAGTGTTCGAAAAGGACTAAGAACAAGGACATGTTTATAGTTCGTCCATTGAAAATTTTTAAATAAATTTTAAGTTTATTATTTTTACACAGAATCGGTTTTTAGTTGTCAGCAGTACAGATATTCTCTACAGATTATTTATAAGCAGATTTGTGTATTAGGAAGATTGGTGCTATTAAATTTCGGTGGTTAAAAAATCTCTTACTGTCATTTTGCGACTACTACTAAATGCCTTAAAAATATTTTAACATATCTTTTTATTAAAATAGTTGATATTAGTGAAATAAATGTGTTCGAAGAGAAGCAGCAAGAATATTGATATTCGGTTGAAAATTGGTTAGTTTTAGTCGCAAATCATCACGGTTTTTTAAGTTCAATCTGTTCCTCTGTTTTGTCAAAATTGCGTTCAAGTGGTTAAAACCAGTTTCAACCACGTATGAAGTTGGGAATGGAAGTAAGAAAAGTTCGGCTTCTGCTCTGAGCTTGGGATATTTAATGGCAATATTGTTATTGCTCCAAAATTCACTGAGGTTTTTATTTTTAAACAACGCTTTTGTTTCGGGATCTACATATAATTCACTCAGTTCATCTTCTAAGCCGGGTTCACTACCTTCATTATCTAATTTTACATCAAATGGATTAGCAAACCATTCGGGAACATGCATATTCTTCAAGTCATCGAAACGTGCTTTGAAGTCTTCTTTTAATTTATCAAGATGTTTAATATATATCTCCAAATCACTATCGGAAATTTTTTCATTTTCTTTCTTTCTTTCGTCTCCTCCCCGGTTCATATGAAGATTATATTTTCATTTTCTTTTAGTACTCGCAAGTTTGAAAAATATTTAAAATCGGATCGTTCCAGTGAAGATTTAAATAGCTCCATTTTTACTTAAAAGGCCATTATGATTGTTCGAGCTCGAACAATTGTAACGTTTTTTCCTTGCAAATGCTTCTGTACTATATTAATGATCTTCGATATATTATGATATTTTCTCTGTAAAGGACAAAATATCTACATTTAGCTATAAAATACTTAGAGTTACAACCCTACTAGAGTGTAACAGTGCAACGTACGTCTGTGTGTAATAAACTACCAGCGTTCATAATATGTTTGTAAGACTAGTACACTTGCCAGATGCGTGTAAACAGAGTAACACATGCTTAAAGCGGCGTTGGCTAAGGCAAAACTCAAGTTATAACTAGGGTAGTCAGTAATGTTGTTGATCATATCCGTATTTCGAATTTTCATTGGAATATTCTATCTTTTTCCTAGACAGTTTAATTGATACTCTTTTGTATTAATCGACCCCCTTTCGAACCTCGTGTATTAATCGACCCCTGGAGAAATCTTATCGACCCCAAGGAATCGATATCGACCACTTTGGGGATCCCTAGTTTAATATATCGGTACTCCTGCCAACTTAGAAAATTTATTTAAAAATTTTCAATGGACGAACTTTAAATATGTCCTTGTTCTTAGTCCGAACACTATCAAGAGATAACAATTTAAAACCAACGAGATATAACTTATGAAAAGTATATGATGCGCTAATAAAAATTTATATCAGTCTATAGCTACAGACTATTCACCATCTATAAAAATATTTATACTTTTTAAAATCTTAGTATTCTTATAATGTTTTATTTTATATTTAGGATTCATCAGCTGACATATAACCAGTCATTTTTGCCGCCCCCACTATGCTACGCCACTGCTTTTCTCTAACCTTTCCTAACTTATTTTCGTACAACTTTAATCTCTCTTTATCTCATTAATAAACACAATATAAATTTTGAATAACATATATCATAGCTTCATTCTCACTGCAAACTACAATTATTTACCTAATATTAATAAAAACAAAAAGATATGGGCTTAACCTTCATAAACAAAGCGACCTTAAATTGTAAATTTATCCAATCTTAACACATGGTTTAACATTTCTACACATTTTCACAGTTAAATAAATATAATTGTTTTTTCAATCTTTTTTTCCTAATTCAGAGAGTTCTAGGCAATCCCGAATGCATTCCATATTAATAATTTATACACAGGCTTAACTATAAATTTTTTGCTATAATAATACTACCCTTTCTTACCCTTAACGAAAACTTCCAAATATATATAATACTAAACACAAATTGTAAGCAAAAAACAAGCAGTCTAATCAATTCAAACTCTAAAATCGTAAAAGTGACAGTTAACAGAAATATAAATATTAACGACATTTACGAATAAATAACGTTCAAAACCAAATTAAAGTAGTATTTATAAGCAGTTTTTTAAAAAAAGTCAAAAGCAATAACTGAGGTAAATTTTATATATTAAAGGAATTTCGAATGTTTACAGTTGAATCTTCCTATGCTTAAGACAAACTTACGCCGCAAAGCGATTGCAGCACTCGAAGTGGCATAAATATTTATTATTAATATTATTACACTATCGTAGCATTAGAGCTATTGGTATGTCAAAGACCAGTATATGTATCGACTCTACTTTTACTTTGCCGGCTGTTATATATATATATAGCCTATATGTTGTGAATGAAAGTTTTTTATGTAATGTTCTGTTAAAGAGGGATAGTTTGCGATCCGTTAAAGGGAAAAGGTGACCACCGGAAAATTTTTGGAGTTAGGACACCTTGAAACATCGAGAAATGCGATACATTAGGGGTAATTTTTGTATGTATGGATATAAGTATGTGTGGGGGCACGATTTTATTCACTTTCTTTGAAGCGTAGTGACTCCCGTGCTTTTTATCGAAAAATTCTAAAATTTGCCAGGGAGGTTTGTCTATTAAGGGGTTTTCATGCTGTTAAAATTTGGTGATTAAAGGTCGAGTGGGTTTGAAGATAATGGAGTCGTGTGTATCTCCAGTAGGGTTGGACTTAATGACGATTTTAGTCGTTATTATCATTTACTATTTTTTTTTATAAAACTCATCTCTACCTTTCACTTAAGCCTTTTGTTATTTTCTTAATAGTAAAAATATAAAAAGATTTTAAATAAAATACGATAACAGATGGCGGCACTAAAATTTTGATTGTTGCCAGGAAAGATGAGCAACTTGTTGCTGGTTTATTTAAAATGTTGCAAAACAAATTAATGAAAAAATGAATTAAAAATTAGGCAGGTTACACTGAAATTAATTGTCGAACGTATGTCAAATCATTCTGGCCAGACGAGGGTCGAATTTTCACGTTTCGTAATTCGATTGCCTTTTTTTTTCAGGTTTCAGATGTTTTGATAAGTATACACTCGATGAACTTTTTGAATGCAACATTTCGTTTTTCTGTAATAAGTCTATTTATATTTAAGCATTCACGTCAGTGACTCAGTCAACCTGTGAGGCAAAATACCGTTATTGTATTAAGTCTCCAATCTTAATTTTACAAGAAGATGGCTTCTTTGCAATTAAAAGTTCAGTCAAGACGGACAGCGCTGAATATATGGCACTCACACACTGTAAAATAATATCTAAAAATTATTATATATATGAAAAGATTTTATATTTAATACGACATTTTCGAATACAAATGGTTTTGCATACAGTTATAGACTAAACGATTTACTGTATGTAGAAGTTTAGTGAAATGTAACAAAATATATTGAATAAACTTACTCGGATGAAGAAGTTCTTTTTAACAAAAAAGAAACCGCCGACGCTTAATCCAAATGGAGTTTTACCAAATCTTTTCATAAAATTTAGCATCTATATAAAACAGAAAATAGCTTTTTAATACTGTATATTAAATTTATAGACCAATCGAAACAATTTGTTTTACTTTTAGTTTGGTTTCTAATGGTAGTTCAGCAGACCCCAATTTATCGATTTCGATGAATTTTCCGTAAAGCTTGAAAAATTGAAATTAAACATATGAATATTAAACGAAATTCCGGATCATTATCTGAAAGAAAGTGGCTTTATATAATAACTTTAGAGGAGAAGGTGGTATTATGGAACCCCATTTTTTATTGTAGTGAATTGTAAACAAAGTGTCATAACTACACTTACATTTTTTGTGAGAAAAGTACTGATAAGTATTAAACTAAATGTTCTTAATTGGATTTTTCGCTAGTGTAAATATAAGTATGGTTTTTGAAGGCTTCTGTACAAAAAGTCAGGAAGTAGGCTTAGGGAAAACCGGGTGGTAATATGGAACCTTACTGTATGTTTTTTAAAATGCTTAAATGCTGTGTTTTTCAACCTGTGGGTCGCAACCCCCAGGTGGGTCGCAAAGCCTTACACAGGGGGTCGCGGGTAAAAGAAAAAGACAAGTGTTTGTAGGTCCTAAACTACAATAAAAAGTAAAAAAACTACAGTCTCAGTGAGAATGCTGTGACTATTTATTTTACAGTACAGTTGGTTTTTTGATCGATATTTCGGTCTCGACAGAAAGAAACTTAGATACGTAGTTTTTAAAATCACTGACATAGTTTTAATATGGCCCCGGGGGGCCGCCAGAATTTTTTAACTCGTAAAGGGGTCGCTAATTCAAGAAGGTTGAAAAACACTGCTTTAATGTATCCAAAAACAAATAGAAAAGTACAAAGAATCTTAAATAATTACAAAAGTATTTACTCCAATGTATTTTATCGAAAAATGCTTTTATAATAGAAAAATATGACTTTTATCAACAATATATCTTCCAGCAGCTCTTTTTCGATATTCTCAGGAAGAATTGGCTTTCTACTTAATGCTTTTTTCACAAATTGCTCAGGACAAATGTCTGCTTGCAAAGAGAGAGTTCGTAGGAGTTGGGTTCCATATTAAAAGCACCAATGGCATTTCCATCTTGAATTAACTTATGTCTGTCAAGACCAAATTTTGAAAGACGTGAACATCACACAGATTAATATGTACCCCTAAGTCCCTGGAACGAAATACATGCACCAGTGAACCTACACTACACGATTTATATTTTAGAAATAATTAAATTCACTTACCATTCAAAACTTTCGAATTTTTAAAAACTCAGATTTGCTGATTCACTACGGACAACCATTTAACTTGAGTGAATCGGGTTTTCCTCTTGCTATAGATGTGTGCCTAGTGCAGTTCAGACACAATCCGCTATAGTTTGCTTTTATTATCAGTTCGAAATGGAATGGTTCGATAATACCACATTTTCCTCTACTGATATTGGAAGAAAATATGAACACCTCTGCATTCATTTACGAAAATACAGTAGAGCATCGATTATCCGACCCCGATTAACCGTCATCTCGGTTAACCGACTGTCGTAGTCGGCAAATTTCAAATGTCCGCTAGTGATGTGGCGCTACAATATTTGGCTATGTCTTGGCTACTTTAATATTAATTTTACGTGTTTTAGCTGGCAACACTGGATCGACCATGAACACGAGCCAGCATTTAAACGAGGCTTAATTTTTTTTAACGATACAATAGCGACGATTATTATTTTTTAAAAAAATTTGATAGGATTAACATAAAGGACAATTCAATGTGAAGTAGGTTAATAGCGATATACTAATATACTAATATACTAATTACATGGGATATAATAATATACTACACTAATAATAAATTTTTTCATACTTTTCGGTTATCCGACTTTTTAATTATACGACCGACCCCAATCCCAAATTGAGTCAGATAATCGAGGCTCTACTGTAATGTTAAACTTATAACTGCCTATTGAACAAGCTTACCTATAAAACATACTTTCGTTCCAGAAAGCTAAGCTCTTCTCAATTAATTACGTTGTCAAATATTTTATGTTTTCATTTGTTTATCATGTTAACAAACATAAAATAAAATAACTTTTT